TACATCTCCCATCACAAGCCATACATTCACCCATTGTGCCAAGCACATTTGTCTATTTCATTTTTAAAAAATCATTTTATTGGGGCTCATACAACTTTTATCACAATCCACGCATACATCAATTGCATGAAGCACACTTATACATTCGTTACCCTCATCATTCTCAAAACTCTCGCTTTCCACTTGGGCTCCTGGAATCAGCTCATTTTTCTCCCCCGCCCCCTCCACTTCCTCCTCCATCATGAACCCTTGATAATTTATAAATGATTATTTTATCATATCTTACACTGCCCGGAGTCTGCAGCTTCACTCACTTTTCTGTTGCCCATCCCCCAGGGAGGAGATTATATGTAGATCCTTGTAACCGTTCGCCCTTTCAACACCCCCTTCCCTCCACCCTCCCGGTATTGCCACTCTCACCACTGGTCCTGCGGGGATCATCGGCCCTGGCTTCCCTGTTGTCGGTTTCATTTTGACGTGTCTTTTGTTGAACTGTTCGACTCTCAGGGCTGTGGAGCAGGTGTTGAGTTCAGGACGTGTAAGGTCTTTTAATTCCTTCTTCTTTAGCATGATTCTGCTTATTTGGGGTCTCTTTCCTGTCCGTATAAAGTCTATGATTAGTATGTCATCTCTTTAAAGTGTGGTGTTGGTATCTGGATTAGAGTTGAATTAAGTGACTCTCTCTAAGTTTGTCTTTCATACATAATACGCAGTATGCATGAGTTTGAATAGTAGATGATATTTTTCTCCTTTTTCTCTTTATTAGTAATCAAATGACAGGTACTTATAGAATAACACTAAGTTTTCCGTGAAAACAAATTTATTCCCTCAGTTCTAAGTGGGTCATTAATGTAACTGTACGTATATTTTAGGGATTCCAAAGCAGAGTAAATCTATAAGGTTAGAATTCAGGACACTGTTTCTTCTGAGAGAAATGTAGGATGGCATAACTAGACTAAAGAAAGATCTAAAATACATGGTATAGTCATGAGCGTCTCTATCACTTACACACTACTACATGCTTTACAAATCTTGCCTAAAGAAGTTATGAATTAGCTGGGTTTTCTAGAAAGAAGCAGAGAAAAACCTTCGGGAATGTTGAGAAACATACAATTACCCTCACCTAAAACACACACAAAATATAATAAAGTTTGGCACCCACCATTAAGTGTACATATTGTCAGGGGAGCAAGGTTGCCTGGTCCTCAGCACCCACTTTCCTCTTTCTAGTTTTTGTTCCTGTACTGTACAGGATGGTGATTGTAAAGCTATTTTTCCAAGGCTCACTGAAAGCGAGGAATTCAAATATGATTTCTAGAACCATAATCAGATGTAAATATGGTCAATTCATAAAGGCAATCATGAGAAAATGCCTTGTTTCTACCAAT